AAAAGGGGGGGGGGGCAACGTTAGCGTTAGTCTGTTCTCCGTTTGAGGCACTTCTCTCCTCTACCCCCCCTCCCATTTCCGCACCACACAGCACCGGTAGCTATATTATTATACTCATACTGGGTGCCCATTGCGGATGGGATCAGGTCAGATCAGGTCGAGTCAGGTCCGGTCGGGATGATCGCCCGACTCGTTGCCTGAAAACAAAGGAGTTTCTTTTAAGGCAAAGAGCCGAGCGCGATCGGCTAGTCCTCGATAGCCGCCTTGCGCCCTCAATCTTACTAGCAAACCAACCCGACCCGACCCGTTCCCCCAAATGGTCACCCCGTATTACATTACAGTATAATTATCAGGGAGTGTCGGCGGACGTCTATGGTGTAGAGGCTAAGCACTTCGACATCGCAAATAGAAAATGTAAGTTCGATATCCGTGAGGGCAGGTTTTTAAAATTTAGTATCTCTGTCTGCTGGGACGCGGTATTATCCCTTTCAGGCTGGGTTGGCCCTGTCTAGCAGACTTGACGCAGCCAGCTTCCAGAATGTTCTGAAATTTGGTCTGCGGGGGGCATAAACATTTACAATATTACATAATTACTTTTAGGGAGTATCTCATTTTGTATAAAAAGAGTCCTCTTCCTTCAAAATAACCTGTTTTGTATTCAAGGAGTACTCCTTAGGCGGGAATCGTCCACTTCAAACAGGAAAACAGTTTTTTTTGTCATTGATTAAAATGCATTTCTGTGATTATCTTCCTGCACCTGTGATACATATTATGTAATTTATTGTAAACGTATTCAGATTCCTTGCGACGTCATTAGCTGTAATTCTTCAAGAGAGTAATTGTTGAACATATCTTCAACTACATACATGGCATACAGGTCGGACTTCCCTTTCAAAGTCAACTTGGTCGCTTTTAAGCTCAAGGGGGCTATCCCGAAAAATGCTGTTTTGGGAAAATCGAAGGTAAAGTTTTTGGACCCTTGTCCAGTTTCTTTAAAATGAAAGGAAATTTTTCTCTATAACCAAACAAATATAGATCTACGCACCAATAAAACAAACTTCTCCTATAGGTAGGGCAATGCAATGCCCACTTTTGGTGTAGGTCAAGATTTCTGGAACCCCCCGAAATCTGGGTAAGCCCACTTGTCCATAAAAGCGACCATTTCACAGACGACTAAGCTCAGCTGGGGAAAACGGTATCTTTCTACTTTCTGCATATTCTGATTCATTAAAAATATTTTAAAATTTAATAAGAGTTTTCGGCACTTGCAACACAATTAGGTCATACAAGTGCCGAAGATAAGAGGTGTTACAAGAGAGGAACAAACATAAAAAAGAAGGAGGAGAGATCAGGACAATAGATGTTTGATAGGAAAGAAGGAGCAAACCTCATCAGAGCACCCGCCAGCTCTCCAACCACCCACATTCTGTCTCAAAAGACAAACATTGCAGATATTTTACATCGAATAAATCACGTATGCTTAAGCATCAGCTATGCAATATTAATTCATACTTACAATTTAGCACGATAGCATATGTATTATATGTAGAGACCAAGGCGCCAGTAATGTATGCTTAGTACTTCTTGAGATAATGTGATACCCTTTTGTTGAGAGGTATTTTCTTTCATGATATCAAAGAGCTTTTCAAAAACACTTACACTTGATGATTTTTTAAAAGTTGCAAAACGAATCTTTATAATGAGCATGTCTTGATTTACATGATGTCATTTAGTTTCATAAGTTATATTATACTTGGTGTGTAAATATTTGTGTGTGTGTGTGTGTGTGTGAGTGTGTGTGT